TCACGTGTAAGATATGACAATATTATGACTATAATTAGGATAATCGTAAATTCCTTAGTGGATGTATGTACATTACAAGTTCTGCTACACAGGATCAGTGGGGCTATGTGAGATAATAGTATTGCAAGATAGTTGTTGACCCAGCCTCTTTAGAATATGTTGCTACCATTTCTTTACACAATTATTTAATGTTTCTTTTGGACACCTTTTTTATAACTCTTAGTGTGGTTGTCTTATTCTTAAAGTATACATACATACATACAATTACCCCAAAAATATGATAATTTTCGGTGTGTATTTTTGTCCTTACCCTTAATGTTAAAGGAAAGAAGGGAGGAAAATGTTGACAATAATTGATATATCTGGCTACCTTTCTCATGTTTTTAAGGTTTCCCAAAACCGGAGAGAGGAGGAGGCAGTGGGAAGCTGCCCTAAGAAGGCAGGACACTGCTCTGCAGTGAGCACTTCAGTTGTGAGGACTTTGACAGGACGGGGCAGACTGTCCGGCTTAAAGATGGTGTTGTGCCAACAGTATTCAACTTCCCAGCTCATCTTCAAAGGGTATGTGTATCATTGGCCAACAAGAATTCAAGGTGTATAAGATTGATATATAAATATGTGATTAAATGTCACACTTTAGTTTTTCTTTCTGCAAGTTTAGGAATAAATAATGTGTTGTGTATTACAGCACATTTTAAACACTCAAAATGTCTTTAATTATGTTTATTTTAGCCGGAAGCAACAAGAAGCACAACCACTTCTAGAAGAGCGGAAGATGAACCTCAGCCTAATGTTGTGAGTATTCTGAATGTGGCCAAGACCAGAGAGATGGTCATTGATTTCAGGAGGGTGAGGACGTCTCCTCTGCCCCTGTGCATTCTGGGAGAGGATGTGGCAGTTGTGGAGGACTACAAATACCTGGGAGTGCACTTAGACAATGGGCTGAACTGGAGGATCAACACTGACGCTGTGCACAAGAAGGGGATGAGCAGACTCTATTTTCTGAGGAAGCTGAGATCCTTCCACGTATGCAGCAAGATGCTGGAGATCTTCTACCGGTCTGTGGTGGCTAGTCCACTCTTCTTTGCTGCGGTCTGCTGGGGGGGCAGCATCAGAGCCGGTGACACCAGCAGGATCAATAAACTGATCAGGAAAGCTGGGTCAGTCATCGGCATCAAGCTGGACCCCTTTGAAGCTGTGGTGGAGAGGAGGACACTGAACAGGCTGTTGTCCATCATGGATAACCCCACCCATCCTCTCCACCTGCAGCTGGACAGTCAGCGGAGCTCCTTCTCCAACAGACTGCTGCAGCTCCACTGCCATAACTCTGTACAACAAATCACCTCTGGCTGGAAGAGAACTCTCTGCTCCATAGTTTCTCTTGAATATAACCACGTTGTACATTTTACACATATATAATCTGTTCAATATTTAAAGGTGGGGTAGGTAAGTTTGAGAAACCGGCTGGAGATACACTTGTTGTTATATTCCATGGAATGCTCTTAACATCCCGATAGCAATGAATATCTGAAGTGCTTTGACAAAAAATCCATAAAAAAATATCATCTGTGGAAGCTGTAGTACTGTAAAAACTGATTCTGACCCCTTTTAGATGTTACATGTTTTAATCTAGCCTTTTTTAATAGATTTGAATGTGTTATAGCATCCTTCTTATATTTTTTAATTAATCTTAACATATTTTGTCACTGTTTAAAACAAGTTCATTTCATTCATTTAAAAATAATTAGAAAAAATTATGTACCATTTAATTACCACATAATACTGTCCTGTCTGCGCATGTGCATACACAAGCAGACCGCCACTTTTCCCTCCATTTTCCATTCGGAATCGGAAGGACAGGACTGCCTGTGTATAGCTCCGCTGTCGTGAGGTGAACATTCTCCACGGCTCTCCGTTTTAAGTAAGTAGGCTAGCTAATTTATAGCATTGGGTGTATTATATTATACTTAAATAGGTAGCTTTTTGATAGATTAACATTAGCAAACGTTAACGTAGGCCTACAGCAGCTAGCTAACTGTTAGCCTAGCTTAGTTGTGTAGTAATGTTTAAGTAATTTAAATGAAGTGTAACATGCATCATTAACATTATAAGATAACTTAATACTGCTCTCAAGTTAAATACGTGTTAAATTCAATCTTTGTCTTGTTAGACTTTATTATTAGTTGTTGGCTAATACAAGTTGAATGTTAAACTGCCTGTTCCTATGGCTTTTTTTTTTTTGTAGCTTCAACTTCCCCGCTGCCCGGCTTGTATACTGGCCATGCTGTCTTCCTGACCGACTGTAAGTATGTTTTATTTTATTCTTATCACTGTGGTAATATTAGGACACAACTAAACATATGAAATCACGTTGGTAAGGGTGCTTTTGGTAACGTTACTCTCTGGCGGCAAGGGGTTAATGTTACCGCGGCTAACGTTCATATCTTGGTCTTATAAGCGCTTTCACACCGGACCGGAGTACTTTCCCCCCCGAACTAGGGGGGAGGGGGGGTAGTCTTAGTTTCGCCAACACCGTATATAATATGCTATAAGACAAAATGCGTCTATGATGTATTTTCGATCTTTCCAATCCAGACGAGAGATCTTTCTCTCCCCCGTGCCCCGTCTGTGTGCGAGGGGGCGGGGCAGTTTACACACAGGCGGCTGCTACATGCATTCAACACACGGCGGAGAGAGAACTAAGCGCTCCGAGGTGTGTTTAAATGTTACCCGTCTTGAGGTGGACTCTTTGCCAAAAGTGAGAAATAATTGATTGGTTTTGGCTATGGAATAGAATATTGTAGCGACCCGGTATAGGGTGCTGTGTGGGTCACTCAAGCATCCCCGGCTCTCTGCCAATCACAGAGCGGCACAGTAATGCTGGTCGGCGTGCGGGCCTGTGGTTGGGGGAGCAAAGGTGTGTGTGTGTGTGTGTGTGTGTGTGTGTGTGTGTGTGTGTGTGTGTGTGTGTGTGTGTGTGTGTGTGTGTGTGTGTGTGTGTGTGTGTGGTGTGTGTGTGTGTGTGTGTGTGTGTGTGTGTGTGTTGTGTGTGTGTGTGTTGTGTGTGTGTGTGTGTGTGTGTGTGTGTGTGTGTGTGTGTGTGTGTGTGTGTGTGTGTGTGTGTGTGTTGTGTGTGTGTGTGTGTGTGTGTGTGTGTGTGTGTGTGTGTGTGTGTGTGTGTGTGTGTGTGTGTGTGTGGTGTGTGTGTGTGTGTGTGTGTGTGTGTGTGTGTGTGTGTGTGTGTGTGTGTGTGTGTGTGTGTGTGTGTGTGTGTGTGTGTGTGTGTGTGTGTGTGTGTGTGTGTGTGTGTGTGTGTGTGTGTGTGTGTGTGTGTGGCCTGTTTCCGACTCCTATTGTGGAACGTTACAATATAATCATTTAATGTCTAAACATTTAGCAAAAGTGCACCACATCCAGTAATATTTAGGCTCTATTTAAAAAGAAAAACGTAACATTGTTTGTCACAAAGAATTTTGTAGGATTTTGAGTCATTGGCCTAACACAAGTTAGTAATCATTAGCAATCAATTACCTTTTTTCATTTACCATTATTATTTTTCATTTCTGCTCATCTTTATTTTTATTGCAGGTTTTTCTATCTGATGTTGGTGTGATGTAGAACAGAACCTTACTCTTTGGGGACCTCATGTTGTTTTGGTAAGTCAATTTATCAAACAAATTCCTTACTCTTCAAGTTTTGAGCAAACTATTAGGATTTTCGTTTAGTTCACTCTGCTTAGAGATCCAAATTATTTGTAGATCACCATGACCCAAAGGTGACTGTGAAACTCCATCACTAATGTTTGATTCCCCCCCCCCCCCCTTTTCTCTCTTTGGTGTTTGTCTAGTTTATGTGGCAGTGTAAAGACTGTGGCGCTGAAGTGTCTAAGCGATCACAAATTCTCAAACATTACAGACTAAAACATAGTCATTTTGGGCGTGGCCATCATATTAAGTGTATATATCCTGATTGTCCATGCATTTTTAAGGCTTGGAATACTCTTTTGGTACACTTGTCAAGGAATCACACCAATACCTCAAAGCCCTCTGCTGACATATTTACTACATTTTCCTGTCATCTATGTGGCTGTAGTGAACTCGGAACAGAACGTGATTATTTTGTGCACATAAGCCATCATCTGAGAAACAATGAGACAGTCACTTGTATGTTTAAAGGCTGTGCATACAAATCCAACATATACAGCACCTTCAAGTCACACAAAAGACGGAAGCACAGCTTGCATTCATTGGTAGATTTTAAGGACGGTGTTGTACAAGGAACTTGTGTAGGTGAAACTGGAGAGCCTGGTGTTTCAAACAATGAGGACATTTGCGATGAAAGTCAGTTTGATGATGTTGATTTAGATACGTCGAAGGATCAGCCAGAAATAGAGCAAAAAATTGCGGCAGAGTTATTAAAGCTGGAAAATATTTTTCATGTGCCAAGTGCTGCAGTTGATGAATTGCTGGAAGAATTTCAATATTTGTTGAGCACAGCATCTTTGTGTAGTACAAGAAATGTGATCCATGACACACTAAATAGTTACAATCTACAAGTTGACCAGTCGGTCATTGAAGAACTTGCATCTGCTCTGTGTACATCTAATCCTGTGTATAAGGCTATTGGTAAAGGTTGTCCTTTGGCAACATCCTTTAAACGCAAGCAATACTATAAACACAATTTTAAAGTTGTGGAACCCATAGAATATATCTTGGATGAGAAAGATAAAAGAACGCTACAGTATGTTCCACTATTAAAGTTTTTGCAGCAGCTTTTCACTGATGGTCACATTCTTAACAAAGCATTAGACAGTCAACTCATATCAGAGGATAGAGGAGAAGAAGTGGTATACAAGTCTTTTCGAGATGGTTTGTTTTTCAAGGATAACCATTTTTTGTCAGGAGGTGAATTGCGAGTGTTACTGAATTTGTATGTCGATGACTTTGAGATTTGTAATCCGCTTGGCACATCTCGTAAAAGCACAAGATCTGTGGCGTTTATTGGACTCTCAGCAATTTACCACCAGGTTGCCATTCTTCGTTATCTTCTATTTATTTGGCCTTACTCTGCAGGTCTGACGATGTGCGAACATATGGCTATGAAAGGGTCCTAGAGCCCTTGTTGAGGGATCTTGTCATTTTGGAAAGTCAAGGTATTTTTATTGCACAGCTTGGAGATTGTGTTAAGGGCACAATACAGTGTGTCATAGCTGACAATTTGGGAGCACATGGAGTAGCTGGATTTCTTGAGAGTTTTTCAGGTGGGTACATTTGCCGTTTTTGTGTGGCACAAAAGTCTGAAATTCAGGAGAGGGAAGTGAGTTCAGGTGCATTTACTCTCCGAAGCAAGGAGATGCATGAAACGCATGTCAGATCAGCACAGGAAAATCAAAAACATTGTTATGGTGTTAAAAGAAGTTGTGTTTTCTCTGCACATCTTTCTCATTTCAATGTCTGTACTGGCTACCCTCCAGATATTGCACATGACATCTTTGAAGGCATATTACCAGTCGAGTTGGCACACTGCCTCAATTTGTTCATTTCCAAAAGATATTTCACCCTTGAAAATCTCAATGAGTCCATTAAGAAATTCCCTTACAAGTGGACAGACAAGAGTAACCGTCCTCATGCTATTCCCAGGGCATTCACGGTGAAGAAAACTATTGGAGGAAATGCTCACGAAAATTGGAGTCTTTTGCGATTGCTTCCATTTTTGGTTGGACAGTTGGTGCCCCCAGATGAGCCAGCCTGGCAGGTCGTTTTGGACCTTAAAGATATCGTCGAACTAGTTGTTGCACCAGTGCACACGACACAATCCATTGCTTTCCTTGAAGCCAAGATTTGTGACCATAGACATAGGTTACAAGAGGTGTTTCCGGGTATAAAGATCTTGCCCAAACATCATTTTGTGGAACATTATCCACAGATGATCCGGTCTTTTGGCCCACTAGTTGGGATGTGGACAATGAGGTTTGAGGCGAAACACAGTTTTTTTAAGCAGGTAGTCCGCCACACACGCTGCTTTAAAAACATACTCTTGTCCCTGGCGGTGAAGCATCAGTTCATGATGGCATATCATTTGGAGTCAGTCACAACCGAAAAGTCTAGCCTGACTGTCTCAGCTGTTTCAACGGTCTCTGTTGATATTTTGCATCAGGATGTACAGAAGGTCCTACAGCTGAGAGACCCTGATATTGCTCACATTCAGCTCACAAAGAATGCATCTGTTAATGGAGTGAACTACAGGGAGGGTATGGTTATTGCTCATGGCTCTGCTGGTGGCTTGCCAGAGTTTGCAGAAGTTATCCAGATGGTTGTTGTGGAACAGAGCTTGAGCTTTATTGTTAAAGAGCTGAGTGCTTGGTATAGGGAGCATTTTAGGGCATTTGAGTTATGTCCCACGTCACAAGTCTCTCTCATTCAACTTGGCGCCTTGGTAGACCAGTACCCCTTGGCAGATTACAGGATTGGAGGACGGCGAATGGTGACACTTAAACGATTCATACACATAAAAGGTTAGGACAGTCATTTGTGTTGTGTTCATGTGTTGCATGAGTTGACATTAAGACACTAAATATGGTAACAAGAGGGTTGCTTTACAGGAGGATTAATTTTGTTTTTAGTCAAATTGAAACTATAATCCTTGTGGGAATTTTTTTATGGAAGGTATCCAGTCCTCTGACGTCTTCCTTAGCTAAATTACCCTCATGTTGCCATGTATTATAGAAATGTGCATGTTAATTAAACTTACCTACTCTAACTTTGTTCATAATAAAAGTGTATACTTAAGTAACAACATTGTCAAATATTTATTTAACAACATGTTGTTTTGTGTCTTTTAACAATTAGATTGAAGAATGGCACGACATCTGAAGTTGAGGGTCATTGTGGACACGGATGACTGTAGAAGACTTGATCTCCATTCAGGAATGCCAAAAACTCTGACAGAGTTACACGATACAATTTGCCAAGCATTTGGAATTGAAAGAGACTTTCGTATTCAGTTCATGGATCCTGACTTCAATAATGATTTCATGAATGTTACATCAGTACAAGACATACAGGACCGAAGTACGATCAAGGTGGTGTACATACTTGATGATGTGGGTTCGAGTCCATCTTCTTCAGTGCAGAATGCTCCCAGCACTCCTGGATCATCTGGAGCACCAGTAAGCAGGCAAACATCTTCCAGTGTGTCGTCATTATCCTCAACAAACTCGGATAGCACCATTATTCTGCCACGTACAGACACTGAACTGAGAACACGTGCATGGCCACGCAAATTCCCCATTCCTCTCTTTCCATACAATGTAGAGGTGCAGCTTCGACGTGGAAATGAGAGCTTCAGAGAAACTGGCACTCGACTGCAGATCACACCAGGGCTGAAATCGGACATCTTGGAGAAGCTAGCCGAGGACATTTTCCAGTATACGGCATATCCACAAAATCTCCAAATAGAGGAGGTAGCAGGGGCACTCGTCCAAAAATGTCCCTGTTTGAAAGAACCATCTGCCACTGGTTACTATGGCTGGATGATTAGCCTAAAATATAAAATGGCTAATTACAGGACAAAGATGCGAAACCTTGGCTGTCCAGAAGTGACTGTAAATGCTTTGAAAAACAAATCAAGTGATGAATGCATCCCAGCCAAAAATGTAAAGAAACCTAAAAAGGCTGAAGTCAACTATTGTCCTTCACACCCTGCTGGCGAAACAGATGAAAGCCTAGAAAATCTGAGACTTGAACTATTGAATGATGTCAGACAAAGAAGCAATGCACCGTGTGTAAAACAGAAGATGTCCAAAACATTCTCCTACAGAAGAAAAGAGGTGGTGCAGGGAAATCTATCTGCTGGAGAGTTCAAAGCCAGGTGGCCTGCACTTTTCCATATTGATGAGGTAAGTTATATATTTCACATGGTGAATGTATGGTGAAATGTCTATTTATCGTACACATTGAGCTGATACAGAGCAACATGATCATACATTTGAAATGGTGTTTCTGTCCATCTGATAAGTCCAATATTCACTATCTTTTAGCTCTGTTTTTGCTCTCCACCAACTCCTTAGTAAAGTATTTGGCTCTTTAGCTGCTCAATGTTCCGCTTTCCTCACCAGCTATTCTCTAACTGTATCTGTCTGCTGTTTGATTGTCTGAAGAAAACAGCTGCTGCTGGAATTGGGGTTTTCACTTTATACCTCAACATTTTACCCATTGTCAATTAAAAAAAGTATTAGCAAGGTTTAAACAACCATACAGCTTACAGGTCTAGTTTTAATTCCTTGCAATTACCTTAGATTAATAGAAATACTTTGGTTAGAACACACTGTACACCAATACACATCTCATCAAGGACTTGGTTAAAGAGGTCAAAATGAGAATCTATCCTTTAATTATATAGTAGATACAAAATATCATTACACCAATGGCTGAATGTGCTCTTTGTCTTCTGTCGTTTTGTTTTTGCATAACAGATACATGCTGAATTCCAGCGCATAACAACTATCCCACTTGAAACGGCCTTCATGGCGCAGTTGGACAGCCATCTACCTCAGCTGACATCTGTCTTCCAGAAGAAGGGAGGAGTTGTTGGCCAGAAACTAGCCAAACATCTGGCGATTTTGCAAAAGGTAAATGTGTGTATACACTGTTTTATACAAATTGTCATATACTCTGTGGAGCAATTTTATGAAATGTACCTGTCTAGTACCGTATAGAGCCCCATTTGCCTAACAACAGCCTGGATTACTTGCCAGGTGCAAGAATGCAAGACACTTTTCTAAGGAAATCTGATCTTAATAATGCAATAGTGGCATACTGGTTAGAGAAGCAGGCTTGTGACTGTAAAGGTGCAAGTTCAATCCCCAGGTGGGGAAAGTGAAAAAGCAGAACCTGCCTTGAGCAAGTCACTTAATCCTCAGTGGCCAACAGATCAGACTGTGGTTGTACTTGGCAGATTCCAGGTGTGAACTGTGAAGAACAGAGCATTGCTCTTGGTGAAAAGTCCCTGGATGAGTAGAATTAGTAAACAGTGCTATCGCCCTAACACATTCAGACCTCTGACATTGTAATACATTTAAGTCACAATTCTTTAACATACTTTAGGTCAGTCCATTTACATGTATAATGAAGTCATTGCAATATTGTTATTATTGATGTATTTAGAAATATTTTAATTGTAATTTTTTTACACAGGCAACAAGTGATGTTAACCTTAAAAGGGAAGCAATCCTCAAGGCACTTTGCATCCACCTTGGTGAGGATGATGGACATCTCATTCGGGAGTATATGGTGAGTCATTGTAATTGCATTTGCCAGTCACATGTAGTGTTTTAAGATCCTAGTTTCAGGCATCAATTTTAGATAATTATTTTTTACCTTATAAGAAGCATGAAGGTTGAGCATATTTATATGTATGAATGTTGATATTCATCAACAGACTAAAGCATTTCAAACCATCACCTTGTTTCTTTATACGATGAGGTTGGCTTTATTCATTGTTTTTCTTATTGTCCAATGGAAAGACCATAATCAACAATGTCTTAGTCCACCTGTCAATCCTCTCTGACTTCTGACACTCATCACCAAGCTTATTGGGTCGTACGTAAATCTTTAAAAACACCTCACACATATTTAGTTTGATTCAGAAATATATACAGTATGACCAGCTTTGTTTTAAGGGATTAATAGGTATGTGAGCAATATTACAAAAAATGTATAAGATAAAGTATGTCATTAAAATTACATATATTGAATGAATACATGTTTTTTCTTTAAATATACAGGACATCGGAGGAGATGACATCACCAGAGACCTGCAGAAATCTACCATGGGCGTATACGTCATCAACAAGGATGGTGGAGAACCTGGACATTATGACGACGTTGGGATTTTTGTTGAAGGACTAATCATTCTGGACAACATTGGATCTGTAGCCCGAGCTTGTGCCATCATGCTGGGAGTCATCTATACACTGAACATGGCTTACCCCAAAGAGCTAAGGTACTACTATGAATTCATTCAGAAAGTGCTCTTGCAAATGGATGGTGAAAGGCTTTCCCCCAAAGTCCTTGGACTGAAGAACAAGATACATGCTGGACTGTAGGATTTCTTCAGCCGCTCTTGTGAACCGATGCCACTAAAGCATTACAAAAACACCAGTCAAACCTCAAAGGTTGGGAGAAGAATGTGGAAATGTTGATGGACTTAGAAGACATGTATTAATGTGTGGAAGGTTATATTCTCCTCAGCTGTTTAAGTCACATGCTTCATGTTACGTCAGGATTTATTCTCTGTCTGTTTCCACTGCACTTTGTTGCATTTCGTTTTTATCAAAACGGCAACTTTTTCTACCTTAGCCAAGCGTAAAACATTTTATTTTTTATATTGGCAATTTACATCTAGTTCTGGAGAAGAATGTAAAAATATTACATGTATTAATGTGTAGGTTATATTCTCCTCAGCTGTGTAAGTCACATGCTTCATGTTACGTCAGGATTTATTCTCTGTCTGTTTCCACTGCACTTTGTTGCTGTCATGGCCTCCACCTCTGCCTAGTCTGTCTCTCCCCATGCGTGTGTGTGTCCACAATCCAATCACCTCTGCTATAAGACTCCGGCCCTGACTCCTCCACTTCGCCATATCGTAGACTCTGTAACCACAGTCAGTCACGTCTCCTGTGCCTGCAGCTTCAAGCCAGCCTGACTCCTATCCTGTCTCCAGACCACCTCCAACGTTGGACCCTGTCCCGCTCCTCCAGGCTCTTCTCCCTGCACTCTCCAACCTGGTCAGACCTCCGTTCCCTTGGACTCCGTCTAGCTTCCCTGGCTCAGACCCCCCTGCCCAGTAATATTCAATAAACGTTATTATTGTGTTTGAAACTCCTGCCTCCTGTCTCTGCTCAGCTCCTGGGTTCCCTGCTAGCCTTAACAGTGGCCAGATTGTACTGTTAAGGCTAACAGGGAACCCAGGAGCAGAGAGTTTCAAGCAAAATAATAACGTTTATTGAATATTACTGGGCAGTAGGCAGGGGGGTCTGGGCCAGGGAAGCTAGACTGAGTCCAAGGGAGAGGGGAACGGAGGTCTGACCAAGTTGGAGAGTGCAGGGAGAAGAGCCTGGAGGAGCGGGACAGGGTCCAACGTTAGAGGTGGTCTGGAGACAGGATAGGAGTCAGGCTGGCTTGAAGCTGTGGTTACAGAGTCTACGATATGGCGAAGTGGAGGAGTCAGGGCCGGAGTCTTATAGCAGAGGTGATTGGATTGTGGACACACTCACACACGGTGGAGGCCATGACAGTTGCATGTTTTTATTCGAATCAGAAGATGTTTTGTGTAAGACACATGCTTCATGTTACGTCATTTTGTACAAGATAATAAAGTAAGAGTATGTATCAAATATGATGTTTGTTTTTTATTTTAATATATTGAAAGTTAACATAGTAATAATGGCTGAAAATGTTTAATTAAATTCAACTTAATTTTTGTATGTAGAAATTAAACTATTGAATTGATCTGAATGTACAAAAAGAAAAAAGGTTACTGTTACATAATCCATTTTAGTATACTTAACATGGGTTTAGTGAGTACATTTTACTCGGAATAGTTGAGGTGAAAATTATCAGTATAATTAAATTGAAATTACTCAAAATAGTTTAACTGAAAATTATCAGTATAATTAAGTTGAAATTACTCAAAAATAATAAGTACAGTGAACTTAAAAAATAAATCTGGATTTAGATAACTTTGTTTTGTGCATCCACTTACCTTAATAAAATTAAGTAAATTCAACATAACAATTTTTTCAGTGTACTGTAAAAAGCACGACCAATCATCTGAGCCGGCCCGGCTAAAATAACTGGATGGCCTACCTGCCTGTCAGCCTTCCATCTGTGCACAAACTTATCTCGTGCCCTCATTGGTCATGTGTGCGTTCGTGTGTGTTGGAGGAGGGGCTCTGTGAGGAAGTGGCAGATTTTTTCCGGCTGTGTATTTTCAAATTCTAGCGATCTCAAGCTGGTTTCTCCAAAATGACCTACCCCACCTTTAACATTAATATTCCATATGCCTTATATTTATGTATATGTATATTAGATATATATAATATCCTGCCAAACTCAACATGTATATTATTTTCCTCTTTATTTATTTTATTTATTTTTCTTGCTTATTTCTAATTTATTGTAAAATTCCTTGTCCCTTATGCTGCTGTAACTAAAAATGTTTTCCCAAATTGGGATCAATAAAGTACCATCTTATCTTATCTTATCTTATTTGCATGTGGAATGTCACTAACAAATGAGAGCATCATATGGCTTGTCATATTAAATCCTTTATCTCGGTGGTACCCAGGAAGGTCTATGATGGTGTTACTAGGAGAGCCCAATATCATTTGAGGTGGTACCCAGGAAGGTCTATGATGGTGTTACTAGGAGAGCCCAATATCATTTGAGGTGGTACCCAGGAAGGTCTGTGATGGTGTTACTAGGAGAGCCCAATATCATTTGAGGTGGTACCCAGGAAGGTCTATGATGGTGTTACTAGGAGAGCCCAATATCATTTGAGGTGGTACTCTGTGTAAAACGTTTGAGAACCACTGGCCATCTCACTTGCTCTATGTCACTCATACACTTGAATTTTATCTTCTGATAAAGGTGTGAATATCTAAATAATATACCACCATATGCTATTGTCATTAGTTGTGTCCCTGTTCTTCAAGCTAAGGCATTGCTAAATTAACAACTCTTGGCTTACAGAGTGGTAACATGAGACCGATTTGTATATATAAAATATAAATATATTTTAATTTTATAATTTATTTTAAATATTAACAATATAATAAAATAAATGGAAATATATACACCGGCAAATATTTAATATAAATACCTTGTGTGTGTGTGTATAGCTATTGCTTTATCTGCTTAATGTTATTTTCATATGAAAGTCCATGATTATAAGTATGCAGTATCATAACTACATCTTTGATGTTTATAAAAAACCAAACCGTTTGAAAATTGGTTGAAAATTGAGCAAGCTATGGTTATTTAAATAGTAAACCATAATGTTATGAATGAGAGCACTGCCTGTAGCAAGATGGCGGCCATGTGGCAACGTCGGTCTCCATTGGCCAGCAGCGCGGGTGAGTCATCTAGTGTTTATATATATCCCGATCCGTCCACCTGCCCGATCGGTACTGCGCATGTGCGAGATGGTCCGCCATATTGGACAACTACATACGGCAACTCTAATAGGACACTTGACACAGTGGCTTTTGGCAAAGCAGAAAAAGAACTGATAGAGATGAGTTATTGTTATTACAACATCGTGACTTCACTATTATTTAACAACTCTTTTTATTGGGTTCTTTTATTTGGGGTTAAGTACATTGTTAGAATAAGTGAGACATGGATTTAACTTCTGTTAGACAGCTATCATACTGAATAAATATTTACTGTGAATGTATGCAAAAATGTATGGCATATAGCTGTCTAACAGAAGTTAAATCCATTTCTCACTTATTCTGACAATGTACTTAAACCCACATAAAAGAAGCCAATAAAAATAGTTGTTAAATAATACTGAAGTCACGTTGTAATAACAATAACTCATCTCTCTCGGTTTTTTGAGTTTTCTTTGTGTGCTTTGCCAAAAGCCACTGTGTCAAGTGTCCTAGTTGTGTTGCCGTACGGAGTTGTGCAATATGGCGGACCATCTCGCACATGCGCAGTACAGATCGGGCAGGTGGACGGATCGGGTAGTGACAGTGTGAACAAAGCGGGAGCAGAAAAGGGAAACCGGAGCTGAACCAGAAAAGCTCTAGCTCGGAGCTAGAAAGGGAAAAGCGCTGGTGTGAAAGCCGCATCTCTGTTCCTGAGAAAGTGTGTGTGAGCTCCAGCACTACTGATCCATCATCTGTGTGTCTGGATCAACCTCTGAATGGACTCTGTGCTCTTTTTTCTGGAGCGTTTACCTCGGACTATAGGAGCTAGCTTAGCATGCTAGCTGGAAACACGTTAGCAACACGTGTTAGATTGAGAGTTTGATGGAGAGAGAAACGGTGTGTTTAACGGAGTCTGCAGGAAAAGGTGATCTAGGAAACATGAGTAAAGTCCAAATGCTCGAGGAGGAGCTGTCTCTTTCCAAAGAGGAGAACAAGAGACTCCAGAAACTACTGGACGCTGTTTTACAGCCTCAGCTTCGGATACACAGAGCAGGTCTGTTCCCTTTACTCTCCATTAACACTTTAAACTCTTCAGTAGCACTTTATTATCACATTAACAACACTTTAGACCAGGGGTGTCAAACTCAAGGCCCGGGGGCCAAATCCGGCCCGCGACTTCATTTTATGTGGCCCCACAAGAGCTTGCAAAGAATTTAATATGTTTATTATACGGTTACTTGCTACTTTACAGAAGCACGTTGCCCATAAACGACATGTCCCACAATGCATCTCAAATTTGACTTTTTCTCAGAATTTGACTTTTTTTGTCCAAATATGCCTTTTTTCTTAGAATTAGCCTTTTTCTCATAAATAGATTTTTTTTTTTAAATGTCAATTCTCTTTTTCAAAATGTCACAATCAAGGTTTTTCCAGAATGTGTCTTTTCTTATAAAATCATATTGTGACATTCTTACTGAAGAGATTTGCAATTATTTGCTCTAGACTTCTGCTTTCAGACGTAGTTAATTATGAAGTTATATTAATTAATTATATAGTCTTAAAGTTACAACCGGCCCTTTGAGTGCAACCATAATGCTGATGTGGCCCGTGATGAAATTGAGTTTGACACCCCTGCTTTAGACACTTTATCGGCACTTGCTGCAGGTAGTACATCCTGAAGTAAAAGTACAAACACCACACTGTGAAAATACTCCATTACAAGTTAAAGGGGACCTATCATGCAAAATGCACTTTTGTACGTCTTTTCTACATGAATATGTGTCCCCGGTGTTCCAGGGAACTCACCAAGTGTCAGAAAACACAACCCTCTCTATTTTCCTCCATACCCAAATCTCTAAAAAAGGGGCTGCAACGGATCTGATAAAAACTGATCTCTCTCCCCTGTCAGGCTGTCAGGGGAGAGAGAGAGAGGACACTGTCCTGACATCACAGAAGTGGCGCTACGGCTATTGGGCCAACTCTCCACCTATCAGGGGAATGTGGGGTTGGGCCACGGCCGGCCATTGCCGCTCGAAAGCGCTGGAGACGCTGTAGTACATATGCCAGGCCTGTAAGTGGCGCTGTAGTCTGCCACAAAAGCAGCGAAGAAGACTCTCCGCCCATAGTTACCATGGTTACCCTTCTGTTTATTCTCCGCTGTGGCTTTCTTTCTCCCTCCCCGAGGCAAGCGTTTGCTCCCGCTGCTTTAATTCAATGCAATCCCTCCCCGTCGAGGCAAGCACTGTAATTCTCTCCGGTTAGTCCACCAGCAGATGACAAACACCCACCTCTCTCCGCCTCTTCCAAGGAACGAGGGGACCGTGCGGCAGAGTTTCAGTTTCAGTTTCTTTCGCCGGTCAAGATGTCCGTTAAAGTTTAAATCTTCCGGACAAAATTAGAAAAGTGCCGGTCAAAGGTCTTCTTTGTTATTTATTGAGCTTTAAAACAAATGAATAACGACTATATAATAAAACACGGAGGACGGAGATCTCTTTTTCTCCCCCTCTATATATATATATATATATATACACATATATATACATATATACATATATGTATATATATATACATATATATATATACATATATGTGTATATATATATATATATATATACATATATGTATATATATATATACATATATATATATATATATATATATGTGTATATATATATACGTATATATATATACATATATATATATATATATATATATATATGTATATATATATATACGTATATATATATACATATATATATATATACATATATGTATACATATATACATACATATATACATATATACATATAGCCCCGTAGTTTCAGAGCGCATCGAGTTCAAAATACCATCTACAACAGGGGTGGGCATTTTACGGCCCGCGGGCCACATTCGGCCCGTTGGCCGGCCTTGGCCGGCCCGTGTGAGGTTGATCATAAATTATAACA